TTGGATGTATGCGTAGCTGCAAACGGATATAATACATTGTATTTTTATTTTGTTTAGATCACGTTATGATTTGTTTTTATGTCTTGTCGCATCCAGTAAATGTCTGAATCTGAAATGCTGGCATTCTTTATGGAAACCCTGTACAACGTGCGATGTATTTCTGTGTAGAATTCAAGTATTTTGACTACTCCAGTTTTTCTTTTACGTCGCTACCTTCTTCGCCCATGACTTGTTCCTGTAAACATTTCTTCGTTGCTTCGGAACTTCCACTAACATTTCTGGAACTCTTGGGAGGGGGGAAAAGTTTTGTTTGTTCTTCTTCTGATGCTCATTTTCGGATAACTTTGAGAGCTGCTCTCTAAGGAATGAAAGGGCGAACGAAGGTTGAATATGGGTATTTATACGTTTCAGAATCCATGGATATTCTTTTGGTCAGAAAAACCGTGATGTAGGTCTATTCACATACAGGCCTGAATTTACATAACAAACAGACGTGGAGACAGACAACTGTCTGTGGAATAACCTGCCATTATGCATGAGTGCCGTGGACATGTCTTTCGATGTCATGTGATATGAAGACACAGTCTCTCGTGTCTTGAATTGATTGGACTAAAATGTTGGAAGTTTATGATTGACCTAACTAGAGTCTCTTTAAATTCTTAAATGGTCTAGATATTTCAAAATAAATTGAATTGTATGTGCGTAGATGGAGGACAATATTAAAATCGATCTTAAATTAGGTGGAAGGGATTGGACTGAATTTGTCTGCAATAGGATAGGGACTTCTGACGGGCTCTTGTGAACACGGTAATGAATTTTGTGGTTTTGTAATAGGCGAGGAGTTTATTGACTGACTGAGCTACTCTTAGCTTCTCAGTTCTTCACAGTGCTTCACAGTTAGTTGAAATATAATATATAACTTTTGCTCGGTCTTTTCTCTCCTTAAATTTACAGAAACGCCGGGCTCCTACTGAAGCTGCAGAGATTTAATAACGCGTTTCAGCTATTCGTATTTGTAAAGCCTGACGTTTTTGAAATATTTCTCATGGCACAAGTGAAATTTGCGATCGGCCAGATGTGCTGACCTAGGTAAAACAGAGGGTGATTTCAAATATCCAGCGATTATCGACAGCTGTCCTACAAGCTGCCTTTTTAGTCCGGGTCCAGATATCATGACACGTCACATTCCCTGTGGGAACTTGAAAGAGGAATGACTGTTTTGCAGTAATTCACATACGAACAGAAACCTGAACAAACGAACTTTGCAGAAAAATTTACCCTCGTGTTCTGTGCAATAGTCCTTGCACACTTCGCTAATTCTGAGTAAAGTGCATCATTTCATTCCATAACATAAATTGTTTTTATCTTTTATGTTTTGAGGATTTCCAAAAACTGCGTTTGTCATGGTACATCGCATGTAGCATTAGATGTATTTACTTAATATCGTTCTGTTTATGTTTTACTGCAATACCTAGAAACCCAACAGAGATTATTCTGAAGATGGCTGTTTTCTAGGTTGTTGTGCCATTTGTGATCCGACGTTTTAAAGGCGCTTACTGCCTCCATCATCAGGGCAATAATTCTAACTCTGTATCATTTCAAGACTTATTTAAGTTTTTGTATATTTGTTTATGGCTTATTTAATGGTGCCGCCATTAGATCACACCAAACAGCTTCGAAAAAGATTAATTAGAAGGATACGAAAGGAAACGGTAGTAATGTAATTTTAGGTACTATCCCAGAGTTTGTCTGAAGGGACTGAGGAAAACCACTATATAAGTAAGTGTAGGTTGACTCTGTGTCGAAGATTGAACTCGGGACCTTCCGAATAGGGCCTGTTTATATATTTTAATAAAATAATATGTTACAAACTGTTTCAGTGAATTCAATACGTTTCGTAGTAGTTTGTAAGCGTCATTTATTTCATAGTAAAGAACTTTTTATTTTATTAAAATGTTCTGCAGCATCGGCTTAAACTTTTATTTTATTCGCGTAGCTTTCCTTGAAGCATATTCTACGATAATTGTATGAGGAAGATGTTCTTTTATGCATCATTTAAGTTGTGTTTGAACCAAGTCGAATAATTATGCGACGAGAAACGGAGCTATTCATCCAACGGAACACATCTCTTTGCGACCTCATGCCGTTTATTAGCCGCAGACTTCATTGCTGGCGTTGGGATAGACGGTCATTGGCCTTTGTCGGAATTTGTTTTAAATTGTTTGTCGTGAAATCCTGATATCCTTTGCATCTGGCCCGATCCTTTACAGCAGAAATAAACCTGCAAATGCACGGAGAAGGGATGTAATAATTACATACATTTCCATATGTATGAGGACTCGTGTTATGGAAATGTTGTCCGATATTCTGTTGCTTTGACACAGGTTTTGTAAAGACGCTAATCTCTTAGTAATGGCGAAGAAAGTAAAAATCACGCTTTCGCATACAGTAATTTTAATATAAGTATTGGTATATGTATAAAGCACTATATCAGAGTTTCTCAGAACTGTTATTCGCCAACTTAATTAACTAGGACTTTTTTTCCAAAGAAGGGAAAGGCACTGTAACTCATGTAAAACTCGAGTTCTCATGTCTTTGAATTTGAAAATGGGTGCCTTCTGTGGTGTGATAGAAGTTGACTAGTGTTTCGGAGGTGCTTACTGCCGCCATCATCAAGACAATGGTTACCAGATGGTCAGATTTCAACGTTAGGCACACATAATCAAACGTTTATTTTTCTGAAGCAAGTCGAAATTTAACATTAATACGTTGTTGGATTTTACAAATTAATATTGTTGGTTTCTTGACAGTGGCGGAGAAGCAAGCTTTATTTGTGAAAATTTGCAAACGCATAGCAACGTTGTCAAGCTTATACAGAATAACCGAGCTTTGTTCACCGCACTGAAACCCAGCTGGTAGGCTGTGGTGATTGTTCGGAATGGGACCCCGTCCGTCTTTTCGGTCACACGTATCGGCTTCTAGTAAAGACGCATGGAATCGTGAATGTGAACTTCATTAAGCCAGACTCTTTGAGCGAAATGTTCTGCAACTCTGGTGATATGATGAAATGCAGATGAAAGCAAACTGTAGGCTGGAACAGAGCTGCGGTTGTGCAGGTATGTGCTTGTGTTGAATTAAAGCCAAGATTGATGCCACCACTAAACGTTGTGGCGATGAGGCAGAGAACAGACGGGCGACGTGTCGTAAAGCGAAGAGAGGGCTGATGCTGAATGCGGGAAGGTGGTAACGAATCCCTGAGCCGAGAGTGAAACTTACGGTATTAATGTATGGAATTTCGTAAATCTAGCGTGTGGTTTATTCAGCTTGAAGAAGAGATTGAAAGTCTCATTGGTTATTTTTAGCAGCTACTCAAGTGTGCAGTAAAATTTTCACGTCGGTTTCCCACATTGAGCTGTGATGTACTTAACGTTTAAAGTAAAGTAAAATTTGTCCCACTATACGCCATGTAGGCGTTTGGGGTGAGAGGAGGTATAGCTCCTATCTTCCCTGACCTTGGCACTAGATGGGGGTGAGTGGTCAGCATCACGCCCCGGACGGCTTTACCCCCGGGAAAGGACCCCGGTACCCATTGTAGAGGAAGCTGGGTGGGCCCCAGAGCCGGTCTGGACGCAGAGGCTAGAGGAGAAATCCTGTGCCCCCGTCGGGGATCGAATCCCGGTCATCCAGTCACTATACTGACTGAGCTATCCCGGTACTTAACGTTTACTGTATAATAAGACAGTGGAAGTAATCCGAAGTATTTCTGACGACAGATTTAAATAGCTCCACTTTTAACCCTTAAGGGAAAGAAAAAATGAAGAGAAAGTGAGTGAAGGGAGTACCGATAGGCACTACTACGTATTTTAACGAGGAGGGAGGCATAAATTTTGATTTGTGGCTACGAAGTTTCCCAGGCAGTGCCCGCTCGTCTTTCTGGTAGAGATGTGTTTAATAAACGTAAGGCATTTGAAAGTAAAAAAGGTGGGATGTAAAGTGAAAAAAATATAGAAATTGAGAGGGGTCTTAACTGCATTTGTTTACAATTTTGCATTTTTATATTAGCTTTGAAAGGGCAGTGTTTGATAAAAGTTTCATGTTGATATTGGGGGGGGTGTGGGGGGGGGGGGGGGGGCTACTTAGGGCGAAATGTTGATATTAGCACTGGGAGGACTGCATGAGAGGCATGCAGTGCAACGTCGAAGCCAAAGCTTTAAGTAATATTTAGATATTAAGTTTCTATCTCGAAGAAAATGTAACATGTCCGCATTACAATTATGAATTGGTTAACGCTGTTTATTCTGAGAATAATATGAAACACTGCGGGAAAAATACACAGTTGTTTAATACTGGCGCAGGTTGTGTGTGTATTTACAGCTGAATTTTAAAGGGCTCACGTATTAATTTCAAAGCTTTTTGTGTAGAAAATGAGTAAAATAGCCATTAATGTGAAAATTGTGTTTTGCGTACACAGAAAATAAGCGTAAAGGCCAGTAGTTTGCCAAATAAATTATTTATGAAATATGTTATCTGTTCTACTGCGTGTTTAAATGATGTTACCCTAAGAGCAATGCCCATTGGATGCTACATACTTGGCAAAATGGAACAAAACTGAAGAAAATTTGTACTTTCTAACCCACGCTGTTAGTAGCTCATTAACTTATACGGTCACCAAATTGCGGGATGATGTGAAAAGGACAGACTGCAGCCTGATTTAATATATTATCACGACATTTATATGGAGGGTCTGAGGTAAACCACGAAACCCAGTGACAGGATAGGCGGTCTGTGGGCCGAGATTTGAACCCAGAAAATCTACAATATAAAGCAGGAGTGCTAACCACGACTACAGTTTTATACTTATTTTTAACCTTGTCCATGCGTGCTGCTCGCCCATCCCACCCTCATTAACTGTGTTGTCCTAATTTGTTGAAGAGCATAACAACATATAAAGGACCTCATTTTGCGATGTACTTCACTCACACCCATCTCGTTTGTTCTAGGTCCAGATATTGTCATTTTGCTGTTCTGAGAACCATCAATCAATCCGTGCTGAGGAGGCCAGTTTCATGCCTACACAAAACAGGTAAAACTATATTTTAGCTTACTTTAATCTTTACGTTTTCTTGGTAGGATTCCGAAAACAGATGATTCTTATGTCACCTGTTCTACGAACCTGAGCTGATCTTTACACACCGTGACGTAAGGAGATATTCTAGAGAGCCAATAAAATCCATTTCTTTGGACAAATAGGTCGTGACTCCAACGCAGCGTAGCCTCCTGCGAACCTGACTGTGCAGGGAAATGAGAAAAAAAGAGAGACGAAGTCTCTAGCGTTTTCCGAAGAAGGTCTGTGAATCTCCGTAAGAGAATTCGCTGGGGTTCAGTGGCTTACCCTAAGAATTTTAACCCTGTTGTACACCTCTCCATTAATTTCTGCATAGAAACGCTATTACTTAACAGGATGATTATAAAGCTACTGATACTCAAAATCGATCTTAAAGAAACAAAATGGGAATGTGTGGACTGAATTCATCTTGCTCAGGATAGAATCCAGTGACAGGCTCCCCCACATTTTGAATTTCAGTTTCAGTTTGTACTGCTTCTGTGTTGCCAATACGTGTCGTAGGTTTATTCAAGTTGGAGATACGCACGTCTAAAAGTTTTCCTAAATAGCATCTGCTGGATCGTGCAGAAAATTTATTCCGTTGACATTCAAAGCACGTAATGTCCCTGTCAGCTGCTTAGCATTTGAAATAATAATACATTGCCATTAATTGTTGAACAAAGGTACAATAATGAACACAATATTTTATACAGAAATAAGGATTGAGGTTAAATATCAGTGCATCACAAATTACTACCAGAGCCCATTTAGTGAAATATGCGACTTTTACATTTGTAATTCTGTTGAATTTAATCTTTTGCTAACAACGGCTCCCACATACGAGTTTATTCTACCATCACATATCACTGTTTATGTCATAACATTGAGAGAAAACGTTGTCAACACCACCAAAAGCTGAAATGAAGGAAGTACCCGGATGATCATTTCTATTATGCATTACTACTCCCGGGCTCCAGTGATATTTTATTCAGTTCCTTCATCTGGCAGTAATCTGCTGTGTTCCTACGTTATTACGCCACTTGGCTGTGGAAAAGAAGCAGTCGAGATGCAGAATATGTTGACGGTGTGTGCCTCTTCTCTGCCGATGCCCCGTTAAAATATGTTTTGTTTTCGTTTCACATTTTCAGCGTCGATTGCATTGCAGTTTTAATCATTTAACTTTAAAGAAAGATTTCCAGGGATGCTTCCAGGCTTGGCAGCGGCGCTGGGATCGTTGTGTTCACTCCCAGGGGAACTACTTCGAGGGTGATGGATGAATTTAATACCTGAGATAAGTGTACGGGGTTTTATACGCGCAGTCTGGAAACCTTCCGATCGCACCTCGTATATTTCTAGCCTCATTCAGATTGTGATGGTCGTTTTTAAGATATCGTTTAATTGACAACAATATTCTGAGCTTTCTATTCAGATGTGGTGTTGCTAATTTTCTTTGCCATCGTCTACAGCAGCGGTCTCAATAGTTCTTTATTTAATGGACACTCTGTGACGAAATGTGTAGTAAGCCCGACTGCTTTCATTGTAAACACCGAATACCAGATTTAATAGATATATGATCAGTACTTTTGTAGTTGAAACGTGAGGACAGATGGACCGACACCACCGTTTATAAGGAATTTACTTCGTCTAGTACTACGAAATATTGGACTCCATTTTCCACACAGCAGTTGATAAATAGATAGCGTATTTTGAAATTTAAGACACCTGTATATCTTAAGTAATATTTATGTTGCGATGAGTCGCGGACTAAACGTTTTGAAATTATATTTTTAAGCTTTCTTTACGTCTTGTTTTCTGGCTACATTCTTTTTTTAATTTATCGTAAGAATGCATACAATTTTTAGTAGCAGCAGCTGTAATTACGCACGTGACGTAATTTCGTTGGTAAAAGAAATGGCAGTCTCTCAACTACAGTGATTGTTTTTACATAGTAAGAAAAACGTTGTTTAAGAGCCTTTTGTTTAATAGTGAAAGAAGAAGTTTCCTGTGGAATGTTTAACTTCTGAATTTGAGCAGATTTAGTTAACATGATTACAGCCGCCAAATGTGATTAAAAAGTTCTTACCTAGTTCTGCTTTACGGCGCCATAAACTTTGACTGGTGTTTTGATTGTGTTCGGTCGGTGCATTAAACTGAACCTGAAGTGGGTTACACTCGACTTTGCCATGCCTAGCTGCTGGTTTTGTGAATGAAAATAGTTCCTCTATGTAGTACGGACCGAGATTCGTGAATGTCTATCAAAATATTTATTTTTGTATATTTTGTTTAGGATTTCTGTTTAATAATATTTTCTCTAACTTATGTGTGACGAGTTGAACATTAAAGAAGCCTCTAATTCAGTTAAGTTATTAATTATTAGCGTACTACATCAACAACCAGATGGCTAATTATAGGTGTAGAACAAGATAATAAATGTAAAAAATATCCAATTATAAAGAAATTACGTCTGTAACAAAAGTTAATACAAAAAGGCAATAAGCGAGCAGCAAGGCAAAAATTATTTCGATATATATTGTAGTGAACAAAAACAGTAATAATAACAATAATAACAACAAAATCGTCGGCCTTGCGATATACATGTCCTTCGCCTGAATAGTCCTACTTAATGTCTGCAAATATTAACTGGTTCAGAGTTAATTCTGAATCGTAAGAGGCCAAATAGCCTAATACCCGTTAACGAAGTGTTATTTGCAACTTTCAAGCCATGTAAAATGAGTTAGTTAAAAATCTTAGAAAAGAATGTATAAAATTCTTCTGAATCACACAGAAAATGACTTTTTTTCAACAGTCACCAATGTAACTTAAATTAACAACTATTATATAATAAATACGTTTTTAACATAAGTATTTATATATTATATCAGGCGTAGACGATTTTCTACTAGATACAATGCAAAACTACTTCTGTTTTGTAACGAGTTAAGTGTCTAGCCAGAGATAAAACCCTTAAGTGCTAGAGAAAATTATTAGCTACTAGATATTTTGCATTTCCGCTATTAAAAAGGAAGATTACTTTAAATTAGTTATTGCGATATTTCAATTATGGTATTATTGTCATTTTTTTCAGCTCAATGACCGTTGTAAAAATTGGAGATAAAAGTCGTCTCCAGTGCTTATCCAACATCGGGCCATAAAGGTTTAGCACTAATAATTATTGATCCAAAACTGTGTGATAATTATAAGAAAGAGAAACTGTCGAATAGGCCTATATGTTTCTAAAATTATTTTAATGCTTATATTGCCCCGTTCTGTACCACACAAGCCCAGCAAAACCACTTTTTTCAACAAGTAGTATTAATCAAAAGTAATAAATCACGGAACTATGGATTCATTGCCAGTGAAAGTCCAGTGTAGCGTACTTCTGTATTGTTTTCATTTATTAATCCCGCGGTTTGAATTATTAAATCACAAATTTTAGGCACATAAATCGATAACAGTGTGACAGGAAGATGTTTATTATATGATCTGAAACTGTCGCGATCACTAACATTAATAAAATCTTATGGAGATACCGGCCTTATCAGTTCGTTAAAAATCGACGTTTCAGGGACCCGCTCCGTCCTGATTTGCAAATCAGGGTTTGATCCTTACGATGAGGACGGAGCACAAAACATTGTTTTAATTTTTGTTTTGTGTGGATGAGAAATTTTCAGCGTCCACGACTTGAGGCTGCAGGAAAGTGTCTTCCATTATGGAGGTAGTCGCAAACATACTGAATAATGCAGCCACGGACAGCCGACAAAGAGTGACCCCAGTTGGGTATTGGGCGGTGGCTAACATTCCCTTACCGTAGGAGACTCTAATGTTACGAATCATTGCACACGGCTTAGGAAGAGTGACGAACTGGTAGGAATACGGTAACGATCTGTCGGGTTCCATAAAAGATGCGCAATTTCTTGATTAGCTAAGTGACTATCAGCTTCTGAAGAAGATGTCTGAGTCATGTAACGTATATGGAAGGTGAGAAAATTATGCAAGATTTTGTGCGATTACCTAAATGGATGACGAAGGTATGAACTCGATTTTCGAACATTTGGAGAGATGCATGTGTATCTCGGAGACAGAAATTAAACCGGATATTAAAAGATTACTCAAGCAAACTTCGCGTCAGATATCTCACCAGTGACTCGTTTTCTTAAAGAAAGTTATTAGGTGATATATGAACCTAAACTGTTTCTTTCGTATGTTAATTTAAAATGCAGAAGTTGTAAAAAGACGTGACATTTCGGAAGTTGGATCATCTTCTGTCTTCACAACAACCATACAGTTTATTCAGTTGGGTCCATTGGAAAAAAGCTAATCTCAATCTCCGGAGCCAATGGACCGAGTTAATTAGGTTGCATGGTTCTTCCTGATGACGAAATAAGGGCCAGCTTCTGAAACGTCGTGTATTTCATAAAGAAATTTAAAACTTAAGTCAACAGACGAAGGATAATGTTCAAGAATACACCGCATTAATGTAATGACACACCATGGCCAAATACGTTTAGACAGAGGTGTGAATAAACCTGTCTATAAGAGTAATAATTAATTAATAACTGACATGAAATATAGTTAAATTACCGTCATTTATAACCTTGCATTATTTTTTGTGTCAAAACTTGTGAATGTTTTTTACATTGTAGGCCTACTTTTTGTTTTGGAAGACTGAAGAGGGTTTATTTCCTAAATCTTTATAAAAAAAGAACTAAGACAGTTTTTTAGTATTGCAAAAAGTGATATGAAGTGTTTTGGTAAAAGTAAAATTCCTGTACATAATTAAGCACCACGGCGTGGAGGCGTATGGAGGGGGGCTGACATGTAGCTAAACATCGTTACCAGGTGGAGGATTAATTGTCTTTGCGTCTAAGGCTGGGTCTCAGTGTTGTAGGCGAAAGAATTTTCTCTATCGGGAGCCTAAATGTGTTCCTCCATCACGTAGCCAGTTGATGTACCGGCTGCATTGTCGCTGCGTACATAAA